GACTCCTTTGCAGCGTCCGAAAGAAAAGATGTAAAACATGTATATCCATACACATTCATGTCGTATGCATGTAGTGTACATGCACGCGTAGGCACATGAAGGCGTACGTGCACATGTGTATGCATGTGTAGGGGCATGTGCATGTGTACATGTAGAGGTTTCTGTATTTGTATCAGTGTTGGTGTATGCAGGCGTGTCTGCACTTGTAGTTGTGCCTGTAGCTGTGTGTGCAATATGTATGCATATGTGTATATGCGTGACATCAGAGTGCTTTGTTTTTTTTTTTCCTTTCGGTATGTACCGACCTATTTTGTGCTGCAAGTTACGGAGAAGGCTTCAAAGACCACGTTCCTTTCCAGGGAAGTTTTCGTGGACGTCATCACCCCTTTCGGGGCCACCACGACACGGACCATCCAGGCAGAGATTTGAGGGTGTGGCGAGTTTTAAGTTCATGGCTTTGCGATTTCTTTTCTGTTTCAGGTGTTCTCTTTGCCGCCAAAGAATGCGACTGCCATCATCAACAGAAAGATGGATGCCCGCTCCTGAGATCATAGCACGGCTGCAGCAAATTTATCTGATGCTGGGGTTTTGGCGCAGGCGGTGTCGGTTCATTGCACCCTAGGAGTAGTTAGTCACACTCTTTCGGACCTTGCCGTTCAGGAAGCCAGAACGTCGGACCCGGAAACGGCTGTGAATACTCTCATGACCATCATCAACATCAACCAGGCTCGGTGAGCGCAGGATCTTGGATGCGTTCCTTTGCTCAGAAGCTGATAGAACGTTGCAGGAGCCAAGGAACGAACATGTTTCCAGGTATCTTGCAAAGATTGCTAGAGCCAGCCAGTTCCACCCTTAGCCGGCAGTCTTAAGCACTTCGAATACCAGGTCGGTCACGGACCAAAGCCTCTTAAAGCCCCTGACAAGCAGAGTGCCTGCGAAAATCGACAAGCCAGGCGCCGCCGTTGCCTCCCGGTGTTGACCCTGCACCTGAAGATACAGCAGTGCTTGAGCAGGCGAGGGTGAGATTCTGCTAGACTTGAAAGCTCCCGACGAAAACTGCGCTTCCAGAAGGACGTAGCTGTAGGACGTAGCTTTAAGTACTTCTTCAGTCCTGGGCTCAGCGCCAGGTCCGCGAAGTGATGATCCAGGCCACAGCGGCCGCCCCGGTGACCATGAACACGGCCACGAATCAGGCGCTTGCGGGCCGAAAGAGGGACGAGTAGGACATGTAGGACACGGCGGTTTCCGCCGGTCGGAGCGGGGCAGCTTTTTGGGAGGCCGTCGTGACCAACGCGCTGATCGACCAGGGTTTGAAGGAGCCCCAGCCCGGAGAATCAGAGCCCTAACATTCAGAATTTGCACTTTCAGGTGCTTCCTGCTGTTTTGGCGCCCCAGGCATTCAGAGTCCTGGTCTGTGCAATCCTTGAATAAGCTCATCATCGCAACATACCTTCAACGCTGCTTGAACTATTCAGGACGCCGTATTTAGGCTTAACCCTTCGAGCTTTCAGCGTCTTCCATAAGTAAGGAGTTGCTATTCTCACAACTCGGCCTACCTACTTGGTCTCTCCTGATGCTTCCCTGGCTGTGGCAAAGGAAGGCCAAGAGGGCTTAGCCTGCCTTGCCCGAGGCTATGCGTCCATGTCTTGGCGAAAATTGCGGGTTGCAAAGTTTTCCAAAATGAGTCGTTTTTTCCACGATGTGTTGTTTCTTTCTCTTCTCTGTTTGATTATCAGGGCCTGAGCGTGGACATCATGCTTGCGAATGAGATGGGGTTGCCAAGTTGGAGTTTTTTTTTCAAGCTTCCCCGAACAGTGTGGTCTACACTACGGGGTGCCTGCGTGGAGCGCAACGAAAATTGATTGAGGTATAGCCGCCCGGTGTGTGCTCAAAAATGGCTTTCCGCGACGGCAACTGCTGCAAATGCAATCCCCGCATCCTATTTACACGGGATGCTCGCGGGGCTCATCTCCCGCTGTAGTGCGATCCATGCTTTTCGCTGGAGTCCCGTTATTTACACAGGATTCGTGTGGGGCACGCGCCCTGGACAAGGATGCATTGTAAACAAGAATGCATGGCCACTTTTGGCTGTCGCAACCTTGAATCGCGAAGTATTTAGGGGAATTCGGGGCGTGTCCCTCTCTGGATCTCGCAAGCTAAGGGGGGGAAGCATAAGTCTCAGTTTCATGCTGGTCGTGGATCCGCCAGTGCTTGGCTCCACATCCCCGTCGTGGCTCCGAATCCTGTCAGTACTTGGGCAGTTACTTGGGGCAAAGCCTTCAGGGCGTGGTCCTCAATCATCTCGCAAGCAATGCACTGAAAGCACAGACTAGGCCCCCCCAACTGCAAACATCCTGGGGACGATTACACTGTGACGAAAGCAATCCGTGGCATTTGACCAAATAGGAAACATGTCAGCGTGTGACAACAGGAGAGAGGCACCGTTCACCTGGAAGCATGTTTATATCGATTGTGAGATTAGCATGCGATCGTGCGCTTTGAGCCGATACAGACCCTCGAGCTCACAACCGCAACAACCGGATTTGCTCCGCTCGATAGCTGGGGTGAGGTTGGGGCTTCAGAAGCTTCCCCGGCAGGACGTTGAGTCCATGAATCTCCTCGAGGACCTGGTGCAGAGGTCGGCATCTGCAGGCCCGTTTCAGGGCTTCTCAGAAGGCATCTCGGGGAGCCGAAATCGAGAGTTTCAGAGTTTTATTGTGTGTGCGTGTGTGTCGTTTTGGTAGGTGCTGTTCTTTCTGGAGAAGGCTCCTTCCACACATCTTGTTGAGCTTGTTGAGGCCTCTTCGACATCAACGACCCCTCCTTGATCACGGCACGGGGCTCGGACCATCTGGACCGATGAGTAGGACTTCCCCTTCAGACACAGAGGAGGAACACGACTCCATGCTCTGATGCCCTGAGACCGCCCTGGTCGCCATTGGCAATATCCTCCCTGACGATGGCGCCCCGACGGCGGCGGCACCAATTGGCAGGCCGCTTCGCCGCAGGATGACAAAGTTTAGTGTTCGGAGCGACTCTGGGGTTCAGTGGCACGTGACATGTGTTTACATGCCCTTGCAAGCAGCCGTTTAGAGGTGGTTGTCCTAGGAGCATTCTGAGTCAATCGGTTGCGGGACAAGTTCAGAGTATTTCGAAAGCTGCGCATGTTCTGCTTGCCTGATGTTCTGCTTACCTCTTGAGCATGTCTCACCACGGGTTCGGTTGAATGTAGGTAATGCTCAGCCCACATCCAAGGAGCGTCGGCATGCAAGCGTGCGGAACTGAGCTACATCTCGGGTTCCGTGTGAGTAGGTCTTGGCTGAGCTTTCACCGGAAGAGACTCAATGCCCGGGTGTAGGGTTGCGTCTTCCGCGGTGTTTTCAAGCTCTGCTTCACTGTTTCGGATAATGTGTTGAAGAGGGATCCTGCAGAAAGAGTATGGCATGGTCTTCGCTGTTGCTCGAACGGCTTGCACGCATGAGTTTCGTTTCCAGGATGTTGTTTTCTATTACAGGGGGAGGCACAGGCTAAGCTTTTAACCCGAACTTGACCAGAAATCAGTTCGGACAGCTTGTAAATTCCAAATTGCACCCTATAGCCTGTGACCCAAAAGCCTTGATTCTGTAATGTCGCCGTCAAGTGACAATATGCCTCGAACACTCTTTGAACATCAACATGATGACCATGATGGTGATGATGACGATGGTGATGATGACGATGGTGGTGATGACGATGGTGATGATGATGATGATGATCATGATGATGATGATGATGATGATCATGATGATGATGATGATGATGGTGATGGTGATGGTGATGAGGATGCTTGTCATGATGTTGACGAAGGGATGCTTTGTATGTATGGAGTGCACCTCAACTGCCTCCTTGCAGGTACAGCATGGTCAGCCCACTTGAAGAGCTCACTTATGCATCCCGGTAGCACTACTTTATGGTTTTCTAGATCGGGTAGGGGTGTGTGGGGTGTTGGGCCGTTGGGTTCATTGACTGATCTGTCAGGGCATCGTAAGTGGGGATTCTGTGACATGTGAGGAGTACCAAACCGTGCGCGCCAGTGACGAGGAGCTCATCGCCAGGTGGGGAAGTATGTGTGAAGCAAAGTCTGGAGGGTTTCGGTGGTGTGCGAAGTCCGGCCTTGGTATTGTGGCTCCAATGTTCATACGGATAGATAGCAGCACTGCCGCGGTAAACGAAGTCCAGCTAATCATGGGTCTATTGAGTCTATTGCACATAGTTCGGCTGTCGCGTTTCTGGAGAGGGAACAACCGTAGCCGCAGTGCTCCAAGCCCACTCGTCAGGAGTCTTTCTGAAGCCGAACTGTCCACACAGAGACGCTTAGAATGAGGTGCAGGGTTTGGTGCCTCCCTGCTCCGCCCCGCAGTCAAGTGCTCAGCACCATCAACGGACGCCAGCCGCAGAACCACCCTTTGCCATTCAGAAGCCCGCAGCTCAGTGGGGATGGGTGGAGGGTGGAAGCCGAAGTCTCTGCTGGTAAGGGGGACTTTGGGGTTGTTCTGCGAATGCCGGAAGCAAGCCGTTTCAAGACCAACATGAATTGCCGAGCGCCCGCAGATCTCATCAGTCCAGCTTCTCTGAAACTCTTCTCAGATGAGCGTGTGATCGAAAAGTGCGAGTCGGCCTACTGCGACATGATCTGGCTGCTCTGTGCCTGGGCATGTGTTTAACCTGGTCTTTGTCGGCACAAACAACCTCACATGCCCTTCCTCTGTGAATCATGTCGGCCAGGCATCCATCAGGACGGAAGGAGGACCCTCAAGTTCATGTGCTGCGATGCGTGGCGGGTCCCAGATTTTTGCTCTTATCTCCACAGAGCACCAACTGCAATACCCTAGGCTGCAGCCCTCCAGCGAGTTACCCACCAGCTCTACCCATTCACCTCCTGCGCTGATAACTCCTCTGCACAAGCTTGCTCTTCGACCTGTAAAAGCAAAGCCTCAAAGGCACCCTTAGTTCCCAAGCTCCCAGCTCGCAGTTGTCAATTTCAGGCCTAACCCTGCCACCTTCTGTGACAACCCGCCGTGCTGGTTCTTCGGCAACAGGCACGCCGGAGGTCTTGAAGATATGGACTCTCTGTGTCTGCTTGCCAATTCTTCCATAGAGGTGTGCCACTTGGGTGCCTTTCTTTCAGTAGCCCATGCCAAGCCTCTGCCCCTGAGAAAAAGCCTGAACCCACGGGAGGAAGTCAGGAGCCCCTATATTCGAGACAGTTGCAGGTGTCCCGACACGGGCACTGGCAGCTTGGAGTCTCCCTCTGCCTCGGCGGCTGCGCTGGCTGCTTCACGAAGGCCACGCTTCGCCCCTCCATCCTTTTGCTCCTAGAGCTGGTCTTGGGGAAGAGGTATGCAGCTGAGGAGCTCTGGGGTCTCTGTGGAAGCAGGGATCCTGGAGAGCAAACGAACTCATCGCGAACTCATGGGGTCTCAATGCCCGAAGCGTCACCTTCCTGGGCTCCTTTCTCAACTTGGCAGGCTGAAGGCGCTGGAGAACATGACGTCCGCGGCTGACCCTCTCGTTTTGGCTAGAGTCTCCTGAATAGCAGGGTAGCTTGCAGCTTCGATATTGTGGACTTGCAGCGTTCTACCAACATGAATGGTAGGGCTTGCAAGCAGCAATCTGGGTCATAGCAATTCATTTATGACCAGTCCTGTGGCACATCGACGTTCTTGACCCTCAAAGTCTTGTTTGGTCGCAGCCGGGCTCCGGAGAGACAATCCCAAGCCCTCATCCCTAAACCCAATCCCAACACTTACACCCGTGCCTGCAAGCCTGAGCTTTCAAAGTTCTCGGAACTCCCAGGGAGCGACACCTCCAAGCAGTGGCTCGGCAGGAGCACAAGCGACAGATTGGGGTCGTTCCTGAGCCTTTTGACCATAAAGGGAACCGCTTAGGCAGTGTACTTGGTTGACTGTGGAGCAGTCCTCGATTCCGACTAAGTCCATCTTGCCTGCTAAGATCACCACGTCTATACCGACACCAGCGCCAATATCTGTCATACACCCAGACTGTATGATCGCGGAGCTGACAGGGACAGGTTTTTCTGACCTCAAGATGATTTCGCCTGCTGGCTGCTGCTGGGGGTCTAGACCAGGTTAGTGCCGTGAACTGTGCTTTCAGGTTGTGCCCCACATTGGTTAGGTCATAAGTTCCACGATTTTCGGATTGAGATACCTTGTGTGAATGTTTCGCGTTAGGCCTGACCTGTCATGCATGGAAGTCCAACTTGTTGCCAAAGATTTCGTTGCTTGTACAGACATGTACCGCAACACGCGGCTCTCGCTGCAAAAATTAGCAGGGCGAGCGCTCGGCATGCTTTGAGGCGAAGCTTTAGGCTGACTTTGGCACCTTGGTCATTCGCGATAAATACCATATCAGACTCCACTGTTCTTGAACAGAGCAGAGAGCGGTGTTTACAGAAATTGTGCTCTTGTTAGGCACTTGAGACCATTATGCCGGAAGCTCTGTAAATTACTAACCTCTGGCAAAGCATATGGCACATGATTGCAGGGGGCAAGCAGGCACCGACGAGAGCATCTCAAGAAGTCACACTACCATTGTCAAGTCGGCAACAACCCTCTGAGGGCGCGGGGGCTTTGCTGGTGAACCTGGAGAATGTTCGGAGCTCGGCGGACGAACTCTTTCTTTGGCTGCTTGCTTACCAGCCCCCTCGGACAAAACCTCGGACGGGAAGCGTCTTCTGCAATGTGCCCACAAGAGAATTGAGGTGGTTGACCTGGATCTTATACCTTGGCCAGAAAAACTTTGGTATGTACCAATGTCAGTGTGGCTCGTCCACTCGTACCCGCCGCGAGCGCATCTGTAGAATCGACGGAGCTTTGGACTCCCTTGTTAGATCCATCTTGGCCCAAAGCCCCGTGCCCCGTGTTGCATTCGGTCCCAAGCCACCGCGTTGCCGAGTCCGAAATTCCGATCCTGAACGACGTGCGAGTTGCGATCCAGCCGCCAGCTCAATGTGCATAGGGTCCCGTGAGTTCTCTAAGAGTCAGAGTTTAGAGGTCAACGCTTGCCTAAGCAGCGGCTAAAGCGCCGTCCTGAAAAGACCCCTCAAGCCCTTAACTCCGCCAAATCTTTCTAACTCCATCAGGCGCCAGGAGATCGAGAAGGAAGCGAAGCTGAGAGCCTCGGCGCAGATGGAGGCCAAGGGATCACAGCCTTTCGAAGCTTCGTCAAGTTTAGGGGTTTCTACTTAAACAAAAGGCTTAAGGCTTGAGTTTCATGTTTTAAAGGTTTCGAGACTTCGAGACAGGCAATTTGTTCTCGGCATTCGGTCAGATCTTGGCATTGCAGCTTTCGTCGGCTCTTGATTGCGGTCTTTTGCCCAAGCTCGTGCGATGATAGAGAAAGGAGCAGCCATGCAATCCCAGACATTGAGCTGCAGAAACTTTACATGAGAAGCTGACTGACTATTTACTCCCGGCGCAGCAACAAAACTCGGTTCGAAAGCACCTGCCCCTGCAGCAATTACGGAATTTAGCCAGAGTGACAGCCCAGAGACAAAAACCAGCAACAGCCTTTCGACGCTTTGGAGTCGCAGCCCGGGCCCCGATGGCCACGGATGTGGTAGAAGTGGCGGTCGGGGAGTACGTGGAGGCCGCTGGGTTCCGCTACGGTACAGAGGGGCTAGAGGTTTCTAGGAGCAGCTTTAGTCAGTACCCGCTGTCTCCAGGTTGTCCGAGAACCCGAAAGAAATTTCTTTTGAAAGCTTAGAAGCAGGGGACATCTGCAATTTCGAAAGCCTTCCCGAACCAGCCCGTTTTCGAATGTGATAATGTCACTTCACGGGATCCCCTGGGGCAACAGCATATTGGGCACCTTCCCCTCGAATACAAGGTTTTTTGTGTCCCAGGAGTGGTGTTTCCTTGCAGCCTCTTGTACAGGTCCGTGGCACAAACCCTGAGCGTAGGGCGGAGGGATGCAAGTCCATTCTGTCGGTGTTGTAAAGCTCTTGCTTCTGTAAGGTTGCAGCATGAGTGTTCTTGCCGAGATCGTATCGATTTTGGGTCGGTTCCGTGTCACCTGCGGGTTCGGCCCGATTTTTTCGGGCGCCTGTTGCCCAGGCATACTGGCCGGACGATGACCAGTGGCTGCCGGCTCACATTTCTGATGCTTGGCTTGTCCACAGCCTTGGGGCGGGGCAAACGAAACCACTCTCACGGCATCCTGTTGCAAGTAGTTGGACGGCCGCACAAGGGAAGCACAACGGCAGATATCATCAACGCAGCTAAAGAAAGTGGGAGCAAGCCGAGGCGATCTACGACGACGGATCGCTGAGCATCACTTGGGAGGCGGGGCGCTTGGGTTTAGGGTTCCATGGGGGCTTGTGGCAAACAATATGCTGAGGGTTTGGGATTTGCAAAGAGAAGCCCAGGTTTCAATCGGGCCAGGCGAAACTGCGCCCAAAACCTTCCAGAGTCCCTAAAGTCCCCGGGATCCCATCCTTTCGAACTTCAGTCTTGAATGCCAGCGAACACAAGCAAGGACGGCTCCCTCAGTGATGTGACCGCGGACTTTATCCGCAAGCCCGCCACGGAGGAGGCATCTGTCAGACGAGTTTGGTGATTCGGTGGTTGGTTATAATGTAGCAAACAGGATCCGTCAAGACGTTAGGATAATGCACCCCGAGCATCGGCCCGGGCCCGCACGTAGTTGCTGACTGGCGTTGGCAAGCATCTAGGGCACGAAGGCTGTGAGCTAGGAGCAAGAAGATGAGGAAAGTTGGATGGGAAAGGGCCTCCACCAGTGCAGCAAGCCACTGGCAGTTCAAGAGTTAGTGGGTGCAGACGCTCCCTTCCACCGGCAGGTGTGAGTCAGCTTTGGGACATGGCGAACAGGTTTCTGGTTGAAGGGATTGAAGAAGGGGGATCTGATCATGACAGCCTCTGTCAAGCCCAAACTCTTCAGTTCAGGAGCTTGCGGAAGGCGGAGCAGATGGTGTTCAAGAGGTGACCGAGGCGGCAACCTGGCAAACCGGGCATTGAGATAAACCCTGTAGGGCTACTATTCCCATTGTCTTTCTCGTGGGTCCTTGCCGGGCTGTCGTAAAGGGCACAAAGCACTCGCCGTCCTCAGACCCTTTCAACCCCAGTGATTGAGCTTCCAGTCAGATTCCGGGGGCCTCCAAAGCTTGGGACTGCGGCCACGTCTGGAGAGAGCATCTCAGCCCCCGAACCTCCCGAGGCTGGCGACATGGACGCGCTCCTCGCGGCTGCAGAAGCCGCGGGCGCCTGCGCCGCAGCGGAGGTGCGGTGGGTTTCCATCGTAGCCGTTCGTGGCCCCCGCGGCCCTGAGCCTCTCCGAGCATTCCTGAGAGCGTTCCTCCCCGCGGCCGGAGGACTTCGTCGCTGGGTCCCGGCCACCGAGCGCTTTGTACTGGTCCAACACCCTCAAAGGCGAGGCACCCAAGGCAGGGCCTCTGGGCGACGAAAGACAAGCTTACAGCTTGACACTTCTTATCACTCTTTCGGGTTCATGGCATGAATCGCAAAAGCTGGGGTATGCAAGTCCAAGTCTCTTGAATGTGGATGCACGATACAGCACCCGCCCCTCTCTCTTTGTTGGCAAAGCTCGAGTTGCTGGTGCCTGATGAATCGAACCTTGAGCATGGATTCCGGAGGCTTTCTCAAAGATGAGTGCATCTGTGTGCATGACTGGTCCGCCACAACATTGTTGCAAAGTAGGGATTCGCGACTTGCCTCTCGCACCCTGTCCACTTGCCCGTGTCATCAAGCCGCCGTCCTTCACAACAGTTAATGCTCAGACAGTGCTGCACCACTTGTGCGAAGGTTTGCATTGAAGCCAATCGCAACGAACACTGCCATCATCAGCACCACCGTTATCCGCTTCCTCCTCATTTTTCATGTCCATAATCCTCTTCACCGTCATCACCATGCCCTGCCCCTCCTGCGTTGGCCTCAGAGGAGCTGTTGAGAGGCCCAGATGAGTTCCACCAGGCAGCATCCGACCCAAGTTATTAGTCACTCAGCTTAAAAGAGACGACTAGCAGAAGCCGGCGTATCACAGGATGCCTTTCAGCCCACGGGACCCAGGCCTCGCAAAGCCTCGGACGGACACGGCCCACGGAAATCATCCAAGCCCAGAGCCCTCTGCTCGCCAGGATGAGGATGCCGAGGATGAGCGAAAACGATACAGGCCGGTGGCGGAGCTGTCTCAGAGCCTTTAGGAGCAGATGCCTTCAGAGGGTTCCCCTCCTGCGAGTCCCCATCCCAGGCTTACATTACCCGCCCCTGTCCCTTTTTGGGGCGTCCCCTTTTTTTTTGGAGCATCTCCTCCCTCTTTTCCGGGAGGCCCACAGGCCTCATGAGCTCGGAGGAGGCCCGGAAGCTGGCCCTGGAGGCCAAGAAAGCACGGACCAAGTGACGACCTGGCTACGAAGCCGCTGGGAGCTGAGGGGGGGCCCTCCCTTTCGGCCCCGTGTCTCAGACACCCCGAAGACTCATCCTAAAACACGCGGCCCTGATCAGAGCTTGTCCACCTAGCTAGTAATGTTGATGATGGTGCACACATAGTGTCTCAATTAAGTGTTCTGTTGCCAAGCCTTTCGATATTCGAGCTTGCCGTCCTCATTGTGGATCAGTAGTTGTCGGCATGTGCGAGTTGAGTCTCTGTGACGCGGGCGGCTGAAACATAGCAATGGCAGCTACTGCCACTGCCGGGCGGGGACCCTTCTCAAGCTTAGTCTGCAGGATCTCCCGAGGAAAGACTCTTCAGAGGAGCCACGCTGAGTACAGCCGGGTCGAAAATGGACCATGCCTGCGCTTTGCTTCACAGGCTTTGCAGCCTGGAATTAGCATTTGGCAGTGTTCTACGTAGCCAGGACCTAAACGATGTCTTCTACAGCATTCCTCGCTAGGAGACCGACTCTCTACCCGAGCTGCGGGACGCCGCACGTCAAGATTTCAAAACTCCCGTCGACATGCCAAGAAGGTAATCAGACGTTGACGGAAAACAAGAGTTTGTAACTCGTCAGTGTAAACTTATCATCCGTCAACGAACAGTCCGTTGTCAAGTTGTCTTGGCATGCTGGAACGGTGCCCTTCCCAGCTTGGTGCCAGGCCTTGTACGCCTTAGAGTCACCCTTCGATCGCGCCACGAAGAGGGCTGCAGCCCAGGCAGCAGAGGCACGGAGCGTTATGAAGTGCGGGGAAAAAGGGCTAAACACCCGAGCAGGAGCGAAGGCATTGTTTTCAAAGTACCCGACCCTGGACCCTGGGAGCTTCCATGGGTTCGGCCGTCCGCAGGAGGCTGCAGAGCAAATGAAGAAGGAGGGCGAGAGGCAGGGAGGGTCTGCCATTGGAGAGCGTAGGGTGTAGGGCTGTGCCCAGGTCCCCAAGCTTTCTAATGCTGTCGGCTGAGAGCTTCGGTCGAGAGGCAAGTTTCCCAGATCATCACTCGAGCTGCCGTGCTGCCGGGACACCCAGGAAACTTCGTGAAGGTGCAAGGTTTCGGAACTTGGGGTAGTGAATATGTTGGCCATCTGTGACCTGATTGTGAAAGACCAGAAGGTCGAAAACGATGCGCCCGAGGCGAGATACGATCTGCAAGCAGGTCATCGTCCAGCTGACGACGGGAGCTGCTTGGTTTGCAGGATTCTTTTCAGACTGCCCACACGCTCCATCTGGGGTTCAGCTGCCTTCCAGCCTTTGAAATTCTGTTGCCAATATTTCAATATTGGAGAGAGCAGGCAGAAGAATCAGAGTGGGCTCAGGCCTCGCAACATCTATGGAGGCTCGGGTTTCGAGACCGGTAGCCACTTCCCACAGCCCATAACTGTAGATGTGCAATCCTAAGCCCCGAACCGGCAGGGCACCATGCTCTTTCAGCTGAAGTAACCTCAATCTCGAATCCCCGAAGCAGTTGAACGAGCCGAGGCGCCACCCATGCGTTTCGTCACCCCGGGCTTCATCCTGCATCATGGCTCAAACAACGATGCGAGCTACACACAATTAGGGTTTCCGGATAATTCGGAAATTTGAGGGCGGGGTGATTTTCAGGCTTGTCTGGGTGACAAGGTCACTAGGTCACTAGGTCAAGGCGAGCACCCGCAGTACCTTCACAGCTCAGGTACATTGGCCGAACGCGGAACATGAGCCAGGCCAGCGTGTCGTCCAAGACTGTCTCAGGTGATTCAAGTTACATTGAAAACAGGTGCCAGTTGAATTGAACCGCCAGAGGTCAGCCCTGTCTTCGTCTTCCCGGACAAGTTTGCCGTGCCCCTGCCCCAGCTCTGCCGTGTGAACTGGAGTGTCGAGGCTCTTAAGCCGCCTTAAGCTTGGGTTTGAAAACCTTAGTGCATGAAGTCTCCTTTGTAAAGATCCCTTCCTTTTCCTCTAATTACTCTAATTCGTCCCTTGCATCTACGGCGAGCTGTCCAGACGATCATCCAAGCCGTCCCTCGCCTCCGCATGGGCTTCTCTTTTCACGTTCTCTCTGACTTCTGACACTTGTTTGCCTGAGGCAACGAGTCTCATGAAGCTGAAGCTTGTGTGATCTTGAATGTTTAGAGGCCCGTGACAACATGATCGTTGCACAGACGCTGGTTTAGCGAAATGAAGTCACAAAGGTAGGCGTCCTCACCATTTCCCTGCCCAGCACCTCCATGGCGACTGTCGCATGTAATCGGCTTTCTTCTGTCCGGGTCTGGGGATGTCTGGGGCAGTGTTGACTCTCTTTGTGTCTATCAACCCCGGACGTTGACCTTGCTGTAGCCTTACCGCTGCATCCCAGGCCAGCAACTGCCGGCAATACGCCCACTCCAGGCGCATGTTTAAGGGGCACAGTTGACGTGCTCGAGCTCCAAGTTTAGAGGTCCAGGTTTGATAAGCTCCGGATGATTTCGGTTTTTGCCCGACTTTCGCAGGTCCTTGCACAGACCGCGCCACGCTTCAAGGGATTCTCGCTGCATTTGCCAGGGAGCAACGTGACGGCCTTCTCGTTCATCTTCGTGGAGTACAGGAAGCTCAGCTGCTCGCACATCCCATGCCAAAACCCTGAAGCGTAGGCCCAGACCTTCACACCTTCCGCTGCACCTGGGCTTCGAAACCCCAAGCTGTAAGCCCAATCGAGCGCCTGTTTTTAATTTGCCCTTTCTGAAGTTTTAGACCGTACCATCTTGTTTGCATATAGGCGTGCGAGCCATGCAGCCCGGCCGTGGGGCCACGCTTAGCGTGTTGATCGCGAACTCACAGCGAAGACTAGTTGTATGCATTGTCCATGGATATCCAAATTGGAGCCCACGGTACTCCAGCATCTTCTCCATTCACGCAGTATCCTCATGCAGACTTGCGTTGGTGAATTTCGCCAACGCCGAATCAGTAAGGCTTCGATCGTTGATTGCTATGCCTTCGACTGGCATCTGCTCAAGATTTTGTGTAGATGCATTTTCTCGCACACGAGAGCGCATGGCGACGTGCTGTGCAAGGTCAGTTTGGGTTCAAACCAATCTGTAACTGGTTTCCGCTATTCGGATAGAGGTCTTCGAAGAGTCAACACACAGGCCTGCAAAACATCCCAAGTCTGAAGTATTTCAACATCCTAGCAACCCTTGAAGCAGCCAACTCAAGCCTTTGCCCGCGCCGTCACTCTGCCCGAGGAAGAACATCTACGGCTGGTCGGATTCTGCACCCCCAGGTTGGAGACCCGGAAGGTTCGTGTTCATTTTCCTCGTTCAGAAGCTGATTGGGAATCCTGGGAGTTTCGGATACGGAGCCCACTTTCCTCTGCTAGAGCCTTGATGTCGCTGAGGCAACCAGACACGGATCATCACACTTATGGTGCTGCGCTTGGCTGCGACTAACTATAGCCTCTGATTGCACAGGTTGTGTAGCGTTACCATGTGATACTCGAAGCAGAGTAGAGGCAGACTGTTGTATGGACAGCTGGCGTCGAAGCTTGAAGCTGACACTGCAAAGTGTGTGTGTGTGGATATTAGAGGATGACCCAAGTATCCCACGCTCGCAGCCTGCAGACTTCGAGGTGATGAGGGCGAGTACCATCGAGATCGAGGCGAGTCTCTGCATGGCTTTGCCGTGCTTTCGAGCTTAGTTGCCGGCACAGCACATCGGGTCACATACTGCGCACAAGAACGAGAATTCGAAGGGGGGATGTCCTCGATCACCTGAGGATCAGCTGCGAGCAGCAGAGGTGATTGGTGATTTTCACTGGGATTTTTCGCAGATTTCTCAGAGTGTGAGCACAGGTGCGCAACGAGATTTTCCCCATCCGCGTTTTCGCAGATCGGCTGGAGCCTGAGACGTTCAGCCAAGGAGATCAGTTCAATGCAAGGGACGCGGGGAACCTCGAGCTCGAAATTCCTTTCCTGAGCCGTTACTAAAGATGGATCGCGAGATGATGTCGGCTCCCTTCCCTCTCCCCACTCCTCGCGAACCACCGACAGCCTCCAACAAACAAGGACGCTGTACTCGGCGGGTCTCTGCATGTACTGGGACCGCTTCGCTGCTGACAGCGCGGGAGGAGCCTGGTCCCCGCAGGCGTCAATGCAGATATACAGATGCACACTGCACGCGAAGAGCCAATTACATTTTGGAAGATGAATGTTGTGTATTACATTCATGTAAGAAATAATAATCAGCTGAGTGCTTGGAGGTTAGGGTTTTGGCTTTGGGTCCCCCCATCTAAGATGGCTGGGGCTCAAATTGGAGCGGCCCCTGGCGTGCCTCCAGTGTTCAGTGAGGACGAGATTGTGGCCGTGGGCGCATGCGGCGCATGCCCGCTCCGACCACGGCTGCTCCTCGGGCTACGCCTCTTGGGCTTGGGTGAAACCGGCTCCAGCGGCCGCGGGAGGGGCCGAGCGACAGCGCGCAGAATGTCGAAGCTGAGGTCGACGTGGACAGGATTTAATACCGGGACCTGGGGTTGGCCCCCGGTCCTTCAAGTTCCTCAACCGCATCCAGCCTGACGGCACGTTCAGGGCGGTCGAAGTCCCGGCCGCCCCCCCTGGTTGGTCTCGTCTCTTCGAAAACACGCTGCTGATGCTGAGGGTGGAAGACCCGGTGAAAGGCGTGCAGGTCCAGGTGGTGGCTCGGTCCGCCCGTGACCTGTACCGGGAGACCGCCGGTGAGCCGAGTTGCACGAGCGGTTCACGAAGGGCCTGAACCTGGCTACGACCCGGTTGGCGGGAAGGAGCAGGCAGGGCAGGGGGCTCCGTCCCCCCAGCACTGAAGAAGGAAGACCACAAAAATCGGACAGGGCCGGCAATCAGATCTGTTATTATGGGTAGGTGGGATGGGAAACACCGGGGTGTGCCCCAGCAACCGGGTGCCCAGGTGCCAGCTGTGCTTGGGCAACCATCCATACACGAAGTGTTCCAAGAAGGGGGCACCAGAGAACTGAGAGCCGTC